ATGGAAACCTTATTATCAGGTAGTAATGGGCGGCCGCCGTGATTGTCTTGGCACCTACTATACATGGATTAATAGCCGAATGCTTCGTAGTCGGACTTATATGAAGTTGCAGCCCCAGCTAACAGATTGCGCTCTGATCCATCGCGCCTTGGCTGGCTTGGCATAAAAACGTTTTCGATAATCCACAACACGCTATGGCAACTATCCTTGGCTAACATCCCTTGTCGCGGTGGTGAAATTCGGTTTGCCTACGCAGTCCTTGTCAATCTTACATGTGCTATTACCAAGACTTGTTGGAATACCATCTCAACCGTCACCAGGGTTTTGATCCTCCTTGCTTGCTAGCTTTCATCAGAAGACGGCACCTTTCGCATCAAGCCACTACCCGACCTGCCTCAGCTGCTCATTTAACAATCGGATCTGGTTAAGAAGAAATTTCTGATGGTAGTGCTAAGCGAAGGGGCGAGATTTAGGCTCAGTCAATCTCTTCTTATCAACAATATAGTGATTGAAAGAGGCTTGCCAGGCAAAGGCAAAGCTGGAAATTGACCAATGAACTGGAGTCTGATGCTCTTACTCTATAGAAAGAAGTGGTGTTAGAGTCGTCAGAGATAGCAGTGTGGAAAAGGCTTCTCTATTTGATAGAGTGCGTACTGCAAGTATCACATAACTGGACAGCCTTGGAGATTCCGTATAGCATGCGCTAGCCAAGTTGAACTTCGTCCCTTGATACAGTCTATATTAGTAAATTCGGATTCTTCCCGAGACAGTTAGTCTATTACAATATCGTACTTTAAGATTTAGGCTAAGATCGGAGATCATGTTATGATAACCTAAATATAATGGAAATTTGCATAGTTTGCTGCCAATGCGTGTCGTCTCCGTTGCCAAGACCGCGATATGCAGGGGCTGTTGACATGTTTTCATCTTAGCCTTGTTTTCGATGTAACGGTGACAACTGCGACATCATGGGATCCCTCGAATCCATCGTGGCTGAGTCAACTGATGGTCCTAATTTTCACGGATAAAGATAAGCATAAAAAAAGTCGCATGCCATGCCGACTCATGCTGGTTGTAACCGCACGTAGTATAAGAATCACTGGCCCTGCGTCCACAAATCAGTCTCACCCGATGGTTACATACGCCTACCACTCTTTCTAGGCACGCACCCATTTCACTTCTTTCGTTCCAAGTTCGCCAATCATGGTTCGTCTGACGGCGCTGACGGGACTATTGGCCTTAGTCGCCATACCCACAGCAGCACGTCCATGGATACCACCTTCACAAGAGATGCAAGAAATTGCCGATTTCAACTCGACAATTGCTGCTCGAGCAGACGCTGGGGACTTTTACCTCCGAATTATGCCCCTAGGTGCATCGATAGTGGCAGGGGACTATTCTGAAGACCGAGCTGGGAATGGCTTCAGGAAGTTTACTCGCGATAAACTTCGCGACCAAAAGTGGAAGGTCAATATGGTTGGTGACCGGAATTCGGGCACGATGGCAGACAATGTAAGTTACGAATAAGAACTGCTACATATGCGTAAAACTAATTTCTATGGCAGGACCATGAAGGCATCTCGGGTCAAGTGGTGGAACAAATCGCTAAACGCGGTCGAGCTTCAGCCAGAAAGTGGCTTCCGAACGTCGTTCTGGTCAATGGAGGAACTAACGATGCCAACGGACGCAAGGAAGATGTTAAGGCTGGACGGACGGGCCTAAAAATGAAGGAGCTCATCGAGGGCATATTCGCAGAGGTCCCTCAGGCTGTTGTTGTTCTGTCTACCCTGATCCCAAAGGTTGGCAACGAAGAGTATGTCGCAATGATCAACGACCAGTACCGTACCATCTACCGTCAATTTGTACCTCTTGGTGACGACGGAAAAGAGGAATCAAACCCCCAGTTCAAGGTCATTTTGGCTGAGATGCAACCATTTATGAAGCTGGACGACATCCACGATGGAACACATCCCACTATTCTTGGTGAGCGCAAAATGGCCGCTGCTTGGGTTTGGTAAGTCGCTTTCGGTCATGACCTAATCTTGTAGAAGAAGTTAACATAAGCATAGGGCTATAGGCGTTGCTCATGATCGAGGTTGGATCCAACCTCCCAAGCAGAGCAGCTTATTTTCCGACGACGATGCAACAACTCAATGCCGCAAAAAGTTCGGCAGTGGAGCTTCTGACAATAGGAGTGGCCGTCAGATTCTTTTCGCCAGCGACCCAGCCATTCGTGACGATGGCACGTACCGACACAGCTCCCAGCTTCGGGATGACCGCAAGGGATCTTTCACCAAGACCATTGGTGGTGGGCCGGACAAGGATATGACCAAGAGTTCCGATATGTGGTTTGCGCAACTGGTAAATCTTGGTGGTTCACCTAAGGGCGACGAGCGTGACGAGCTTATCCTTGCGCCTTCGGATAAGTCGGACCGGAAATTCACCATGTATCTCAATAATGGTGTTGGTGAGTTTAACGATGGGTTCTCAATTGATCCCAAGATGAGCTGTTCCAACGCTCGTAAGTCCCTCGAGTCCATTCTCTTATACGTACTGACGGAACTCTTAGATATTCGATGGGGTGATGTGAACGGTGATGGACTGGACGATTTTATCTGTATACAGACGAACGGAGAACTGTGGGTTCTCATCACCGGCTTTTGAATGCAATGACGGAAATTAACGATCTCCAGCTATGTTTCTATTAACAAGGGCGGAAGCCCGCCTGCATTCCAGAATGTTGGATTGGTATGTTGTATTGGGTATCAGCGAGCTTGGATCTCACGGATTAACACTTTGCGTAGTACAAGAAGCAAGAAATGGGTCTCGGTCGGGACAGAGTCCGCCTCGGGGACATGGATGGTGATGGTCGCCTCGATTATTGTGTGATTTCCAATGCTGGCAATTATCAGTAAGTTATCTACTTTCTTATGAAGGACCGAGGATCTTACGAGCAATAGCTGCTGGCGAAATGGAGGTATCGGCGATAAGGCAGCATATTGGCAAGATATGGGCGAGGGCTCGCACATCCTTGCGTCTCAAAACACCGGAGACATGAGGGGTGTACAGTTCGGTAAGGTTTCATTCTGTCCAGATGATTGAATAGCCCTAACAAAGACTGCAGTGGATATGAATGGAGAGTAGGTCATACTCCTTACTGACCCTTTTCACTCGTAGTGCTGAACAGAACCTAGTGGCCGATACGACTGGACATATATGAATAAGGAGGGCCAGGTCAAGACGTAAGTAGCTGACCACCACGATATCGAGAAGATCCTAACCGTCTTGGCGACAGTCTCATCAACCAACGCGGTGATGGTAAAGGTATGAAGCCTTTTTGGCGCGAAGCCGGCATCACGCATCCTGGTCGTGGCTATGACATTGGTGAGAACCGCGAGTTCATCAAGTGGGGCCGTATCTTTAGCGGACGTCCTTCATACGTGAATTGGCAGCGTGATGGTAAGCTCTGTAACGGGGGTGTTATCTGCCGGATCACCTACCAAGTATGGGAGAACAAGGGTGAAGGGGGCACTTCCCAGAAGGGTATGTGTTGCTTTTCTTACATTCAGCTGCATAAAATACTGATATCCGATAGGAGATGGCATCTTCTGGGGCGACACTACTGGTTCTGGTGTTGACGACTACGTCTGGATCTCTATGCACGGTGAGGTCAATGTGTTTGTTAACAAGAACACTCGCTCCAAGGAGCATGACTTTTACGCAACCAATGCCTGGGCAGCGCCGACCATGATCAAGACAGGCCTCCCCCGCAGAGCATTGCATATAGCCGATTGGGACGGCGATGGAAAGGCCGACATCATTGGCGTAACCAATCTCAAGACTGGTTCTCTCAAAGTATGGTACAGTCAATGGGCCAACGGAAAGCACGACTGGAAGGTTGAGACTATCGCCAACCCCCCTGGCAGAGATTGGTGTACTCAAGGTTACGGCCGACTACCATTTGACAATGCACATCACTTTGCCGACTTGACAGGTTCTGGAAGGACAGACTATATCTGCATGGCTCCGTCCGGTCAGGCGTGGGCTTGGCTTCGTGGGAGTGATGGTGTGGCTAAGCCCTCGGGACAAATCAAGTATACAGAGGACTTAGACCGAGCCAACTTCCAATTTGCCGATATAAATGGTGACGGAAGAGCCGATTTGATCCACAAGGACAAGTTCAGTGGTGATACTCAGGTTTGGTATAACGAAAACGTCGTATCTGAGTCAGAGCGGCCTGGAAACTCTGGCAGTATTATGAAATGGGAACGTCCGCAGAAGTTGTTCCGCGGATCAGTACGCGGACCAGATACTCACTATCCTCGCTTGAACAATCAACGTCGCGCGGACATGGTTTATGCAAAGGCCACGAGTGCAACGGTAAGTTACGGAATGCCTTACCCTACTGAGAAGTCGTATTAAACATGCATCACAGGCCCATATTTCCTTCAATGTCTGCCCTGCAGGAGGAGACGACACGGGCAAGCCCGACACCAACCTTCCAACCTACAACCCACCCGACCTCAGCCCGGATCCTGAAAAAGACTGGTTCTGCAAGGGCGGTAACGGAGCCAAGTGGACAGACAGTCTCTGGCGTCAGCACGGTGTTGGAACATGGCTCAAATCAAGAACAGATCTCTACAGCGCGGCTGAGAACAGCTGGCCTACTGGTGCCAAGGGTGTTCCACGTATCATCGCCGAGTACAATATTTTCGACCATGACAAGATTTATAACTGGCACACAACCTGCACCAGGTAATTAACGATTGGAATTAGGGTAGTGGTACCTGCTAATGAGATCAACAGTATCGAAGACACGTGCGACTTGAAAAATGCCATTGAGACAGCGGATGGTTGCGCGAAACACCAGGAGAGAGGTTTTGCTCTCTGGGCTATGAGCAACTTTGCCATGTTCCAGCAAAAGTGGCATAAAGCTGTATCAGATGGGTAAGCTTAATATAAGAGTGTATTGTGGGTTATCAGCTCAGCTATTAACGAGATCTAACCAGGGTTGAACGCGCCCAGAGTACGGCTGGCGACATAACCAACACGTTCTTGCCCGTGTCAGCTGATGATGCGAACGCGAATCCCGCCGCCTGGCTCACTATTGTCGCAGGTATATTCACGACTATAGGTAGTATATCGCCTGGTATTGTTGGAAACGGAGTGAATCTCGCCGCCGGCGTTTTTACTATCGGCGCTGGTGCTGCATCGTTTGCAGCGGAATCGACAGATCCCACCCCCCAGTTTAAGTCCTTTGGCGACTTAGGCCTGGCACTTGACAATATGCTGACCTTTGCCCAAAAGGCTATGGAAGTCCAGTTCAATCGTTACTTCGTCGAGACGCCGCCCGACAACGACAGGGACCGCGGTTCCGAGCTCGCACGTGCTCTAGAGTCCGGAGTGTGGGCAAACCAAGATTCGGCTCAAGCTGGTACAGACGCCATCTGGGATACCAACAGAGTTAAGGAGATGATACAAGCTGCCATGATCAGTGAAGTTTGGAACGGTGGACAAGTTGCCATCTTCAAGTGGTCTAAGGATCACACATTGGCCAAGGACTGGGGATTTAATCCTTGCTTTGGCGGCGACAAATATGGCATGGATAAGCATATTGCATGCGTCAACAATCAGAACTACCTGATCGTATGTTTCCGAAATAACGCATGCATATTTATTGCGCTAACCGCATCATCAACAGGCCAAGCAGATCACTAAAGAAGACCAGGATGATGCTCAGAGCTGGCCTGATATCGGATCTGATGAGGATTCACTCAGTAAATACAACCTCGACCACATAACTGTTATCAGCGCTGCAGAGAGAACACAAGACAGGGCCAAGAGTTTCATACCTCGTGGCTTGAACACCATAGGAACGCTCTTCGCAGATGCCGCCAGGCAACACAAAGATAATCGATTAGATTACATGAAGTACATTAACGTCCCCGGTAAGTAGAGCTGGCTTCCATCGTCAACTATACCTAATCAAAATTGCAGTATGCGATCTTAACGGACTGAGCAGCTTTGACCTCTACAAAGACCGTTTGACAGAGCTTCGCGGTGAAGTGTGCAAAAAGGCAGACGAGTACAAGACATTGAACAAGTTCTGTGTTGCTCATATGCTTGCGATGAACTGCCGGAAGCTAAGTTTGTCAGGAGGACAGTGGCCTTATCAGAACGACATCTGAGATTGATTATGAAGAGGGTAATACTACGTGCGGATTGTAAACGGTGAGGGAAATGATTTCGTTATTTTAGTCATAGTAGCTGCAGAAAATATTATATATTGTTTTTAATCATTCCCTTAACTATTTATTACTTTATCTCTTATACATATTATTATAAGTAACACCTCAACTATAATACAGGATTATAAGATATTTATTATAGAACTTTAATAACTATAGTATATATACTAGGCACATAATACAGACAAGTGCATGATAAGAGACTTAACTATCTACGTATAAGTTAGTTGTATAATAGTTATACTCAACTACTAAACTATAAGGTAAAAGATTAACCTATAATTACTTATATAGTAATTATAGTAATATTTATAACTACTTATAAAGCTTTATAGTACTATAATAATAACTAATTATAGTTAAAAGAAAACTTATAAAAATCAATATTTAATAACTTGTCTTTGTTTTTCAATATATTAGATCCAGTTGTTCGATGGCATGGGCAGTATATCACGATTCACATATTTTTGATGTTTAGGACATGAAAAGAACTTTCAAACACCTTGCTGAGCTCTCTAGCCGCCGCAAAGCTGGCTTGACTGTTTTGACTGGCACCTGTTGATGCTGGTACTGAGTCTGATGCCGCGGTATGTTTATTCGGTTTCAAGGCGATCTTTAGCTGCTTTGTGTATTTGGAAACCTTTGGCTTGTGGCTAGGCATGCCTATCCTTGCCTGCCTGTGGTTACTGTAGCTTAGAGGGAGTTTGGAATTAGATGGAATGAGATAATCGTTAATCCACGACCTTAAGCTTGTATTTTATATCATGGCCCGAGGCGCTATATTATGTGGTAGATGAAATTGATGTAAGTAATCCCCTCTAAATATGTCAAGCATAAAAATAAAGTCTATATATCTCAGGATAATCTATTTAGCTATTAGTACAACTTAATTATTATAACTTAATTATTATAACTTACTTATTGTTATGACCTAACGCATGATAACATAAGGACACAGTCAAGTTACTGCGAATACATTGCGAACACGCAATAAGGCACGCACGGTTATATAAAGGAGGAGTTAAACCCCAAATCTGGGGGAAGGTCGGAGATTGATACAGTCGATTGGAGACCCCTTAGCTGTGTTGACGCCGTGACTACGATACGAATCTCCTGCGAACCCCCTTACAGCTCGTTCACTCCGCTTCTCGCCGCCAGTTTCTAAAACTTATGTATTATTAGATATGATTATAAATAACGCTTAGATTTATATACTTATCTTATTACTTAGTATGGCACTTTATAATATATTATCCTTATTTTATGGCTAGGAACCTAGATTATTACTTCTTGAGACCTTTACTCGGAGCTGTGCCTGCACTAAAGGACTAAGGCTGGTTTAGTATAGCATTCCATTTAATCAACTCACGAATAAATGGTGTAGTTTTAATCCACGAATTGCTCAGATGATATAGAGCATTTCGAAGATGCGTCTTGATATGTTGCTGCGTTAGGATAAGTTTGTAACTGTGGCAGGCAAGAAGCCGGTATTCTGGTACACGTATAAAGTATCCCATTTTGAGAGGGATGGATTGGAAATCCACCTAATCTCAGTAATTGCTTCTAACTCCCTAAAATAGGTTGAAGTCTTCTATGGCGATATTGGCTTCGTGAAGTGCCTCTTGGGTGACTTCTAATATATGTGGATGTCTTTGATACCTTTCGCAACGAATTCCCATTTCCATCAGAATCGCAGACGGATCAGTCTTCAACTCGTTTCTTCGAGTGTCCAACAACGCAACATGTGTATTTTCAATGGCAGGAGTGCTAAGAGAGTGACCAAACATATTTATCGGCCTGCAAAAGCTGGGGAAGGATCCGTGGATAATCTCGCCCATCATCAAGCCCGGCACGTAACAAACGCCTACAACCTGGTACATTGAGTCTGATGCGGAGCTTGTGGCATATTCTCGTAGGATGACTGGGTGCCTTCCACCAAATATTACACAAACAAGGTCATTTGAGATAGTACCTAGTGGCGCAAGTCCAATGAGCCCGTCGACAGTCGAAAAAACACAGCGCCCCACAATATTCAAAGTGAATGTCCTGAAGAATGCTTCAGATGGATGCATGGACACCTTTCTCAGCTCATCATAATCTCCATTGGTCATCCATATATTGCGAACATCTTGTACGGTTCGATCAAACTCAGGCCAATATCTGTCAGGCGGGTCAAAATCGTGGGCAAATGCCAAGCCAACGAAAACGCGAGCGTGAGCCTCAATAATTGTTCCCCCACTCTTGTAAGGAGCATCGAGGTCCCCCGATGGCTTGAAGTGCCTTATTAGTTTGATCATCCGATTGTGAGATACCTCTGTATCGTAGTTGCCAGTCTGTGCACAGCGAACGTTGGCTATCCTTGATGCCCGGATGCCGGCAACACGGAGGACTCTTTTCCCATGAAACGTATCCTGTGGAAAATTGACCTTTGCCGATATCCACCCGCAAGCGCTCCACGTTCCCCAGGGCATGTTTAGTTGTTTCAAAGAACTCGACCAGTCTGGAACCCAACTGGGTATATCCAAGACTTTGGAGCAAAGTTCACAGGTGTCAAGAATTTTCAATGAACGACGCTGGATGATAATCTTTTGGACTACGTCCGTGTAGACCTCAGAAACAGATTTGGAATAATCCGCTTGAATCCCTAGACCTTGATCGGGCCTGCATAGCAAACTGGATACTCCGTAAATCATGTCCCGCGGATCTTTACTTTTGGTGCCGCGAATGTCCGTTCTGAGGTCACGATAACCAAGAAAACCCGGCCGCGTCCTGCAAAGTGACTCAACCAGTCGTAGAGATTTGACGGATGCGATCTTGCGTTCCCGAATATGCCAAATGTCGCTAGGCTGGCGAAACATGATGTATGCCCCTTTTCTGAATAGATTCCAATCAACCTCCGTGCTGCCGCATTTCACTACGGCTACAGTGGAAAGGGTAATTTCTTGACGAACCCAGATGCGCTCAAACCATTGCCGCTCAAAGAGGGAACATATGCTGTGCAGTTCCTGGTCATTGAACGGTGCTTTCATGGCGAGGTCCGCCCAACCTAGTTCGGAAGTGCCACGGGCTGGCCTTATGCTCGTCGTGCTCCAATTAATTTCGACTTGGCGGCCAACGTGAGCTATGGTCTCGAGGGCATGACGGCTCTCGTTCTCCTCTGGGCCCAACCAGGCCAGAACGCGATTCGCAAGTCGATAAATGCTGCCCATGAGAGGGATCTGGGAGGACTTTTCCTCCTCATCCTTTTGATTGATACAAAGGGAATCAACCCAGAGCTGTCGATCCTCAGCTGTATATCTGAGGTGCCGAAGAGCTATGTCAAGGTTGTTTGTGATGGAGATGGAACTTCTATCAGGCATTATGGCATCCTTGGGATTATGTTCTGAGCCCCAGCAATATGACAGAGCTTCATATTGAAATAATCCATGGTGCCGCTGAAAATAGTTGGGCTGGACTAGATTAGCGCATTTGTGATTTGAGCAGCAGCAAAGGAAAATCACTTACAACTAGCTGTATTTCGGCCAAAGAGATGCGAATCGGGTCCGAAAACGAGCCTTGATAAAGCGTGACGACTCTGATGCTTTGACCAGGGAAATTGAGAGGCTCGTAGGCGAAGCGTTTCGAGATGTTAGCCGGGAGCGACATTAAAATAACTGTTTTCCACTAAAACCTCTTTCGCAAACTTCACACAGATTGCAATTTCTCCACGACAAGGCAATGATTTTTTTCACTGAATATTCTCGTTGCGCGCACGCTGTGAGCAATTTCTGTTGATCTGCAGTTGGCTAAAGCTTAAAAGGTAGAAGAAGCTACACTGGCAAATTTTAGTAAGCGCGGATGTACTGCTGAAATCTGAGCCATTCTTGCTCTCTGGCTGCACTAGGTACCTTGTGACAGTGACCCCCGCGGTGGCTTTTTCAACTCCACCCAGGCCTCCTAGGCCTCTCTCTACGATACGGTTCGTCTCGTTTGATTGCCTCGAAGAATCACGAATCGTATGCCTTAGGCGGCAAGATGCATGGCTGAATTGGTACTACCGCAGGTAAGGGGATTAGGCAGCAGTTGCTTCAGGCATTTCTGGTGATATTGGATGCGAAATGACTCGAATGGAACTTTCTTGGCTGCAGCTCTGGTGGAGGGCAACGGTTGCCTTGGTCTTAGCGGGAGACAGTATCCTGGCGTATCATCGCCAGCCTGAAGCCGACTAGATCTACATGCATCCTTTCCCAGATGAGACAGTATCGCAGAAAGAGAAAAGTAGTTGGTTGGCACAATGCAGACCGGAGCTGCGGCGAAGAAGGTTCTAATCAGGATTTAATGCATTTCTCACCCAGCATCACCAGAAGTGCTTGGAGGAACTGCTGCCTGATCCCCCACCTGCATGCCTGTGGCTCGACGAACTCTCGTGCCTAAGGCAGAAGGACAGATGATCATGGTTGCATAAACCCTGCACCCTCCCGTAAACAACACCAAAAAGCATCACACCCAATGATCATATCCAACATGAAGCAGTTGCGATAGCGTTACACCTAGAAGACTGTTGCCACAACAAGTCATATAAGCACCTTCTGACAATATAGATTGCTTTTCTCCGCGATACGGTCAGGACTTAGGAGCAAGGAGCCTTACTGCTTCCGGATACTAAGGGATCTAATCACGGCCAAGTTCCAGGATTTTTATCAAAGGATCGAAACTGAGATCCCGATCCCAAAAGGGGGTCCAAGCATGATCCTGGTTAGGGTCGCCATTGCGTTTATAAGAGTTAGAGTGGGGGTTAGCGAGACCAAGGGGTTAAGGGACCAGAAATGGGACCAAGAGCGGCCACGGGCTGTTGCTCAGCCAGAGGGGTAATCAGAGCTGACGCGGGCTAATGGGGGGTGATGCAAAGCTGAGCCGCAGTTAAGCCAGCGAGCTAGGAGGCCATAAAAGCAGAAATCTTGGTATGTCACGTGTCGCTTGAGTTTCGTC